ACCCCGCCCCGCCCCCGAGCCCTGCCAATCTGACCTGAGGAAATTCCTCCCTGCCCCTAATCGGGCAGCCAGTCTGACCCTGAGAAAACTCCACCAACCAGCGCCTAGCGAGACGATGCTTCTCTGGCCAAGCTCTGATGCTCCAGAGGAAGGTGGGGGGGCGGGGGGAGAGACAGGATCCATCTGCCCAGTTGTGGACTGTGGGGGAAGGGACAACATCCCTTCCTGACCCCTGCAGGCAACCGGCTGCAGCCCTGAAGCATGAGGCTGGATTCTGGCCATTGCCTTAATGCAGAGCCGGGAGTGTGCGGAGGGCAATGCAGAGATTCCTCTTCTCCTCGTGGTCCGTGATGGAAGGGGATGAACAGTGGGGCTGACAGATTCCAAGCCAGAGGGGACCCCCATGACCAGCCCCCCCCCCCCCCCCCACGCTGTAGAATCGCTCCCAGAAGTGGGAGATCATCTTTCAAAGCCCTCCAAGCAATGGTGAGTCCAGCCCCTCCCCGGGAAGCGGCTTCGCCGTGTCATCACCTCCCCGTGTCTAATTCCAGGGTCGGATTTATCTACCTTCAACTCCCAGCCACTGGCCCTTGTCAGCCAGACTGAAAAGCCCTCGCCCCGCACTCCAATCCAGCCTCCATCGCCAACGACCCTTTAATCGTCCATGGGCCTGCTCCACCCCTGCGGCCGTCCTGCCACCCACATGACATATGGCTTTGTGAGTCCAGGAAACGCAGGGCAGATCCCAGGAGGCGATTCCCATACAGGGGGCATTGCCGCCCCTCTGGTGAGACCGGGCCGGGCCGGGGGGGAAATGACCCTGCCTGCAGCTTGTCCGAAAGTCCCCAAAGACATGAGAGGTCGTGGCCCTTCTGATCAGCCAACGTTAATGTTGGTGAAAAGCCCCCAGCAATGGAGAACCCCGGAGACATCCCCCTTTCTCAGCGGCAAGGCAGGGGGGCAGCAGGATCAGGGTATGTGATTCGGGGAGCCCGTTCCCTCAAACCCATCCCTCGTTTCCTGCGCGCAGCCCGGAGGCGCGATTCTGGCAGCAGGAGGCGCCCGGTGGCCGTGTGCCTCTGGGTGCTGAGTGCCCCCGCCGGAGAGCTGCCCTCATTGAGCCGCTAGCGAGGACAAGCCCGGCGCACGGCTCCAAGACTGGGGCATTTTGCCGGTGCTGCTACGCCAGGCAGGGGTCACCCCCTGCTCAGCAGAGCTCTGCCAGCCAACGATTGCAGTGTAGACCCGGGCTGAGAGACCTTGGCCAAAAAATGGCACCGTTTAACCCAAGTGCGTTAAGCTACACGAGGCCTTTTCCTTCCAACACACGAGTTGATTGATCAGGAAGAAGCAATCACAGCGCCCCCTAGCACCAGGCAGGGGCATTGGGGGTAGGACCAACTACGAGGGGAGAGCACCCCTTACTGAGCCCCCACCCCGCTCCCTGCAGCACAGCACCCCCTAGTGCCACCCTGGGGCATTGGGCCAGCACTGACTGCCGGGGGAGGGCGCCCCAATGGGTTACATCTGCTCCGAGCAAGATTTGGCCCATGGCAGAGCACCCCCAGCCTGCCAACACCCGGCCTGCCAGCGACCCCTCCACCCCCGCCCCGCCAACACCCGGCCCGCTGGCAACCCCTCCGCCCCCACCCCGCCAACACCCGGCCCGCCGGCGACCCCTCCGCCCCCGCCCCGCCAACACCCGGCCCTCCAGGGACCCCTCCGCCTCAGCCCTGCTCCACTGAATGGCCCCTGCAGCTGCTCCGGGGTGGCCATCGGCTCCCTGTCGGGTTATTGATCGGTCCATCGATCTCGACATTATCCCCGGCCCCAGGCGGTGAACTACCAGCCAAACTGCACCCGGCAACGCTCCTCAGTCCCGACCTGCAGCCCCTCGCTGTCCCAGCCCAGGGCCCCCCCACAGCTCCCCCAACGCTCCTCAGTCCCACCCGCAGCCCCCTCCTGTCCCAGCCCTACCCCCACCCCGAGCAGACATCCCCCTGCCTTGGTGCTGAAAGGTGGGGTTCCTATGAGTTCCCCCAGCACCCTGGGAACTGGAAGCCCCTCCGTGGCCCCCCTCGCACTGGGGGCTCATTCCCAGATGGTGTCGTGGGGCTGGGTTTGCTGGGTCCCTCCTCCCCCCATCCTCAGATTGAGGCCCAGCCAGACCTGTGCAAACCCACCTGGATGCTCTCCTCCCCCGAGGGCCTGGGCCCCAGGGATTGTGGGGGGTCCCAAATGCAACCTCCCTCCACATGTTTTTACCCATTGGATCCCCACGTCCCTCCCCGAGCTGAGACAGAACCCAGGAGTCCTGGCTTCCACCCCCTCTCCCCCATTCTAACCACAAGACCCCACTCCCGTCCCCGAGCTGGGGATAGAACCCAGGAGTCCTGGCTCCCAGCCCCACCCACACCTGGTGGACCCCAGACTCCTTCTCCTGGCCTGCCCAGACTGAGCGGGATCACATTCTGCCCAGACGCCGTCAATCCGTTCAGGTCACTCCAGGGTGGGAGGCAGCGAGAGGGTGACACTTGGTAGGCAGCCCCCTCCATACCAGGGACCCCCACTCTCCCCATGCCAGGGGCTCCGTGCATCCCCCATTTTGCCCTTCCAGATTTCCAATTTCCCCCCAAATCCCAGGGGCTCTGCCCAGCCGCCTCTGACCCACTCGAAATCACAGGGACTGTTCTCGGCACCTCTGGGCAGAGCCCCTGGGATTTGGGGGGAAATCTGAAATCTGGAAGAGGCCAAATGGGGGACGCACGGAGCCCCTGGCATGGGGAGAGTGGGGGTCCCTGGTATGGAGGGGGCATTGGGGGCAGGCAGTACCCCTGGCATGGCGGAGAGTGGGGGTCCCTGGTATGGGAGAGGGGCCATTGGGGGCACACAGCGCCCCTGGCATGGAGCCAATAGATAGATTAGATTAGATAAAGATTAGATAGAGGGTGCGTATGGGGATAGACAGATAGACAGATAGATAGATAGATAGATAGATAGATAGATAGATAGCAGGGGCTGGGGACAGACAGATGGGCCGGGCTGGGGATGGAGGGATGGGGGGAGCGATAGACAGACAGGGCCAAGGAGGGAAGTCGCCCCCGTTTGGGGCCCTGCCATTGTCCCAGCCCCGCCTGGCTCGGGCAGCTGTGTCTCCGGGCGGGCGCGGGGCCGTCCCCTGCCATGGCGCAGCCGGCCGCGGTGTGAGTTGCAGGCTGCGGCCCGGCTTAGCCGGGCTAAGCCCCTAATTAGGATGATCCCCCAGCTCCATCCGCCTTAACGCCACACAACGAGCTTAGCCCTCCCTCCCCCCAGCAAACATATGTCACGGGGCGGGGGGGCTGGACTGAGACACACACCCAGGGCCTGAGTCCCCCCCGGACCCCTTTTCCACATGACAGCCATCTGGCCCAGCCCGCGGGCCCCAGTTGCCGCAGCAACCGTCTTCTCAGCAACCACTTGGCAACAGAGACGCCATCCCCTAATCCAGATTGGCCGGAGCGGGTATGGGGGTGCTGTT